TGATATAAATTTCTCTCTGATGCACCCCATATATCACAGAAGGTTGAAGATCAGGATCTGAAACGTGTTTGCAATTTTTTTTTACCAGACAGATTTGTACCTTAGTCTTTATGTGGGATCTCTTCTCTTTCTACTGATCATATTGGTTGTCCCTCTTTAGGGCATTTAATGGAACTGAGTTCACCCATACTGGACTAGCAGTAGAAATCAGGGACCCAGGGGTGTGGAGAGGCCTTGGAAAGTAGCCTCTTCAGTGCAGACTTTTTACAGCACTCTGACACAGAAGACAGAGCTATATATTTTTAGTTTCTTGCATTTTTATTACAACATGAGCTTCTATTGTCATCTCTTGTCTCACTTCTACCCCTATACAAGAAGGAAGGGGAAGAGTCCAGTCTCTGGGAACAAAAGCAGAACCTTCAGGCAGTTCTAGTTAAATCTACATGAAACAGTAATACCTAGACAAGGGCTTTGGAAAATTTGGTCAAATGTTAATTCACATGGCCTTGTGCACCAGACCAAAAGAGCTTGTGTTTATACTGTATACTGGACTGAAAAATGGCATACATTAGAATTCTACTTTGCCTAGCATTTACAATGGCAAGGTTATTAAAGTAATTACTTAAGCTTTTTCTGTTGTTCATTTCCTCTCCTGGCTGATTATTAGCACCAACATATTTTGTCTGCAGAAGTCTCTTTACAAAGTCATACCAATACTACATTGTCCTGAACAATGGAGTCTGCTTTTTGTAGGGAAAATATTACAAGAAAGCTAAAAAATGGACTTTAAAATGCTTGTATGAACAAGCAGGATAGGTATGAAATAAATGACTATTCCAGTGATTAGAGTGGGGATAGGCAGGGCAGGGAAGGGAAAGCAGATGGATACCAGGGACGTGTTCTAAACGTAATTGTTTTCAGTCTGGGAAACACCTTTAACAGGCTGGAAAAAAAGCTGATCTTAGCCACATTATCACCGGGGAGTAGTTTCTACCTGCCCAAAGAGTCCATGTCACATTAATGCTAGACAGTTTTCAAAGGGGCACCAGTGGTTAAGCACCCATGTAGGGCATCAATATGGAACAAACAATGGATACAGAGCACTCAGCTGAGTCTCACTAGAAGTCTGAAGGTGAATTTTTTATTGGGATCAATTTGTTACCCACATGGCACTGCACTTTGCAATGTTCTATTACACGCGTGGTTACAACCATGCTGTGTGTTTGTGCAGAAAATTCATTAAAAAAATCTTCCTATGTGGACATTTTTATTTCAATTCTGAAGTTAAAGAAAAATCAGCCTGTCGTGTAGATTTCTACAAGAATCCCACTATTACTGCTAGGGAAGTTACAGGGTTGCTGCATACAATGATCACAGCAGTTGAGCAGCTGTGCTGTTCCTTCTTCCAGTTTAAGACATCAAGTTTGCCAAATAGAATTCTTATCTGAAAGACACTGGATGTAACTCTCACGTTCTTTCCCATCTAGTTACAGGTGTGGTTCACAGATTTAAATTCACTTTCTCACACATGTACATACACAAGTTTAACTATTGCAACATTTGCTTTCCACAGATGAAGCGTCAGAAGTAAGGTATCTTTTACCTGGATTCATTACAAGTGTTTTCCCTTCCCCCTTGTGGAGAGCCATATGAATTATTGTGAACAGGAGTGACATTACCATATTGTAACCCATGGAGATAAGGCAGGCTCGGAAATCTTCACTATCCATCATGCCAGTCTTCTTCTACAGGGAGTGATGCAAAGATGGAAGAAGCCAAGAAAGAGAAAATGGAAACCAGTCCAGGAAAAATGAATCAACAAGAGATATTGCCAAGGATGGATTGGGGGGGAAGGGGGGAAAGGATGGAAGACAGGATTTATAGGACAATAAAGAACAGTGCAATAAAAACCGTTTGAGAAATCGTGAAAGAGTAAAAACGTATTGGGAATGGAATAGTTTGCATATGGGAAACATATGGGAGATAAAAAAGAACAAGGTATGAAGAGATCAAGTGAGATGGATTGATAAATAGAAAAAAAGACCAAGAAAGTTAATGGAAACAGAAGTCAAAGGAGTTGGTAAAGACAAAAAAGGAGTTCACCCAAGATGACAGATTCAGATAGTTAAAAGGGGTAAAGAGGAAAATATATTAACAGGAAAGGCAGAATGGAAGAGAGTGATGCATGTACAGTAATAAACAAGAACAACAATGACACATGGATTAAAACAAAAAAGAAGAGAGAGGAGAAAACTGTTATTTCCTCATAGTTCAACATCTGGCTGCATTCACCACTAGCATTCAGTACCTGCGCATCGTTTCCAATATCGTAACCCAAGCTGATCAGGCAGGCTTTGAACTCCTCGGGGCCAAGTGTGCCGGAGTGGTCCTAGTTATGCAGTGTGCCAAGGCAGCAGGGCATGCAGTGCCAGTGGAGTGATGATGTGGGGCAAAGGTAAGAGAAATAGAGAGAAGATCAAAGAAGGTGAAAGGACAACAAAGCAGGTGCACCATGCCGTGGGTGAGGAGAGGAGAGGGGCAGAGAAAGAATGACATGCAGATAGAGGGACAGGGAAGAAAAAAAGTGCACAAAGTTAGATACCACAATGACATTTCAGGATGTGCTAAAAATGCTCTCAGAACAGTTACTTCTCAGAGAGCTCGTAACATCTCACCGGCATTCAAACACCCAGAACAGTTGGGCTTTAAAATCTACTTTTTCCAATTGAATCACTGTTCTTTTCCTCAGTTGTGCCAGAAGCCCTGCATGTATCAAAAGTAACCCAGTGTGCAGGAAAGCAGACAGGCCATAAATACCATTGCCTTGCTGTCAAAAGCCAGGTGTTTCTAGTCAAGGAACAGGCTAGCTCCCCACAGGAGCTCAGCTGTTGGAGTGCCTAGTGTGCTCCTGAAAATCCAGGGTTTCCTTGAGAACACCCAAGGTAAAAACAGCTGAAGCTTTGGGACATGATACCACCTCTAGCTCTATGATGTCTGCCTCTGAAAGCAGAGCTGCAACTGGCTGAGCTTTTTGAAGTGCTCTACATTGAAAGCAGCACCTCTGGTTTTATGTAGGCACTGCCTTTGCTATTATGCAGGGAAAAACACTGAAGATGGAAACAGTATTCCTTCATTCATGTATTATGCCCATTTCCTTGGTGTTTCGCAAGGCCCACCTGGCAACTGTGAGCATTCTTACAGCAGTGTCTCCTGCATGCCAGCCACATAGTTCAGCAGCATATGCCAGTCTCTTTTTGGTTCAGAGTCCCAAAGCGTTGTAGGCTGGCATGTGTTCACAGCCATGAATTACACAAAAGTTAGGGCTTCCACTTGGAAAAGTAGAACTTTAGTGCAGAGGCAGTTTGAATGGGTTTCCTGCCTGCAGTCACCATCTTGGCAGACCACAGAGGCTGGAAGAGGGAAGTTTCTGGTAGGGCTGCAGGGCCAGCTTCCATCTGATTCACTCCTTGCCAAGAACAGCCAAGTTTTTCCTTCTGATTTCATCACTGTTGCCTCATTTTGTATCTCATATTGTTGAGAAAGGCCTGTTCTCAAGGGTTATACATTGGATAACATAGCTAAAAAGAGAGGACCACTGGGCAACATAAGGAAGACTTAAGATGGTCACTAGCTATTTGGATATACAACACCCTATACATCTCCTTGAAATTAGACTGCAGGAATTTACTCTACATGGCGATACCTCCTGAGACCATTAAAGCACTAAAGCTGACAGAGCTGTGGCAGGCTTAGCAAGTGCTAGGAGCACAAAACCTTCACACTGCTTCTCTGGCATCTCTACACTGGCTGCCAGTAGGTTTCTGGATGGCGTTCAGGGTGGTGGTATGAAACTCAGAGAATCCTAAATGGTTTGGGACCATTTCTGTCTCCTCTATGACCTTGCTGAAGTTTAGCTGGAGTGCTTCCACTAATCATACATCTCCTAGATACAAATGATGAGTCCAGCTGAAGGGGTGACAGGCTTGAGGGTTAGAGGAATTTTTTGTCCCCCTCATCCAACTTTTCTTATTACTGTGCTTGCTAGGGGTTTGGTACTTGTTTAGGAGTCAGAACAGCCTCATATTCTACTGTCTTACATGGATTGCTCTACTAGACATGGCACTTATATGATAACTCAGAGGCTGGGTGCTGACAGATTTCAAAATCAAAATAGCAGTGCTAGAGTGATGTTGTAGCTATGGTGGTCCAGGAATTATATGAGAGTCAAGAATTGGGGGGGTCTTTTATTAGACCAACTGCATGGATTAAATAAATTTAGACAAACTTTCAAATGCCAGGTTTCCTGAGGAAGAATGTCTTGCATTCAAAAGCTTGTCTAACTTTATCCCAACCATGCAGTTCATTCAATAAAAGATCAAGTTAGACAAGCTTTTGAATGCATGACATTCTTCTTCAGGAGATCTTATCTTCAAAAGTGTATTTAACTTGATTCAAACCATGCAGTTGGTCCAATAAAAGATATCACCCCCCAAAATCCTAACTTCGTGCATAAATCAAAATACTCATCCACTATACAGAGATAAGGGGAAATGATCCATCTCCTAAATAAGCCCCAGACTTTCCCAGTGTCTTATCTCAGTCAAGAATCTCATGGTTCAGACAAACCTTCTTTCTTGCCAGATGAACAGACCAGCCTAAATGGACATGATTACCTAACTTTAAAGAGCTGAATGCTCATGAGCTCTGGCCTAGAAGAGTCTACTGTGGTGTTCATTCTACTGTAGTGACCAGTTGGTTGCTAATGCTAAGCCAATCCTAGGAGGAAGCCTGTAGTCACATGCGCTGCAGGAGGCCCTGACTTTTACCCTGTCAAAATGGTTGAAAGAGGCCCGGAATTCATTCATTTGCTCCTGGCTGATTCCTTTGGCATCGCGGGTCAGAATCTGATTTTCCACTTCATTGATGGTTCTGGCAATCGTCGTAAGTAGCTGCTCCCAGCCCACTCGGATATGCTAAGGGAGGAAGAGGATAAAGTTTTATTGAAAAGTGGCACTGTCTCCCTCTGGTAGCTCCAATTCAAACATGTTAATCGTTACCAATTCCAATTTAAAAAAATGATTTTTTGTAATTTTTCTGACCAATCCTACAAATAACACACAACCACATCATCCCCAAGCCAGTACTTTCATTGTGGCTCTTAAATCAAGGCCTCTGGCTAAGCAACTGGCAGGCTAATAGGTGTCAGGTAAATTTTCATTACATATGGCTGGTCTTTATTAGTCCCCATCTAGTCCAAGCTCACACTGTGCTCAGAGAACACTCAGGACTGGATTAACATGAAGTACGGCAGGTCAGATATGAGATGGCTTGGCATGACCCTGTGAGTTGAGCAGCACTGTCAGCAACTCAGCTCCATGAGCATCAGGTTTAGCTCATGGCTTTGAAAAAGACGGGGCAGGGGGTGGAGGAGTGTACAGGGACATTCAGATTATCTGAGGATCACAGCTGGTCTCAGTGATTCACACCTGGCTAATACATCTTAGACTGACTGCATGCTTGCACCACCACATTGCAGCCTGAATACTCTGCAAGGCATTTACCTCCATGGTGTAATTGGTGTGCTTGTTGTCAAAGATAAGAGCCTCCTGAATCTGTTGGTGGTCTCCCTCCAGCTGGTCAATCTTTGGTTTGTAATTCACAATGCTCTTCTCATATTGCCGCAGGTGGTTGAGCTGGTCCTCCAGAGTCCCGTGCATTTCTATAGAAATGCGGCCAATCTCCTGCATAAATAAAACCAATAGATTTGGGTCCATTAGACAGACAAGCGTTAACCTGCATGGTATTCATCTGCAACAGTTCCCTGTATGGGCTAGATGCTTCAAGAACAGGTTGTGTAGGTCAGACAGGAGAGCTTAGCTTTATGACTTTGCAGAGGAAAGATACACACACAGATGGCATGGATGCTGGGTTCCTGCTGGAGCCAGTGCATCAGGGACCCAAGCACAAGAGCTAGCAGTTCAGCACTGAAGTTTTCTCCAGAATACAGAGAAGCAACTTCATTGCAGACAGTTCAAATGAGGTGATATTACTAATTTGGCAGCATCTGGCAAAGAAGACAGAGGCTGGGCTAACCACTCTCAAAGTATGATGATCATAATAGCTATTTAAAGGACAGGACTTAGCTGGCCAATATTCTTCCCTTCACTCAGTTAAAGAAGAGGTCAAGAAGATTTTTCCATGACGCTTTCCCTGCACAGTATTCTTTGTTCTTTATCACTCTGGCTGTTGACTCACTGTTCTCTTTTCCTGACATCTCTGTTTGTCTGGCACTTACTGCCAGAACTCTTCATACACATTTTCCTCTATGAGCCTTCTCTGCCCTGTCTGCCACCAGCAATACACTGAAGTTTCTCCATTCCATTAGCTCCACTTACCTTCATCCAAATCTTAGCTAAAAAACCTCTCCTTTTAAAATGTCTCTCCCACTGCTATTTAGCTATGTCATTCTCTCTCTTCTGTCATGCATTTCTAAGCAGCTGGCACAGAAGAGGCTATACAAAGCAAGCTTGTGTCATATTTGGGTAAGGCAAGTTAATACCTTCAGATACATTCAGTGGTCAGCATCTCTAGCTTTGGTGGACGTAGGGACACAAATTCAGCAAACTGAGAATGGGAACACGACACAGGCTTACAGTGGTGTACATCGCTCCCCCATGGCACCACAGCAGTGTACCAGTTAGCATTCCCTCCCTTATCAGCTTGTTATTCCCTCCCTTCCCAATTTTATTCTCGGGTGGTTGCTTGTAGGATGCAAACCAGTTTCCTTGCTATCTAGTGTTAAGGCTTTGTAATAGCACCTACTGCAAGCAGGCAGCTTGGGATAGCAGTCATTTATCTGTTTATAATAAAATAATAATAAAATAATAAAATAAAGTGGCTACAGAGCAAAATGATAGGTAAATCCATAATCATTCTGTTGTTGTGTCCATACCCTTTGTCTAGGTCATATTTTTAATATCTGTTTCAGAGAGTGGGTAAGGAAAAATACATGCACCTGGGTACCCAGAGACAAGCTCAGGACTCTATCCATTCAGTGTGCCTTGTTGAAGCCTGACAGGAGGATGCCCCCAGAGGTTGAAAGAGGAGGTCATTCAGAATGCCAGCTGAAGATGTGGAGGAGGGAAAAAAGGGAGTAGAGTGTTTCAAAATAAGCAAGATGCTACCTCCATCTTGGTTTGGATCCAGGGTCCAATGACGTTAGCCTGAGCACCAAACTGTTTGCGGAGCCGTTCATTGTGTTGCTGGCGTGCATGTTCCTCCATCAGGGCCTGATCCCTCCGGGGAACTAACTGCCGCACCTGTAGTAAAAAAACCCACCAGGATGGCATATTTGTTATACATGTGGAGGTACCTGCAATGCAGGAAAGGGGAGTGGGTATGTCTATAGTGTCCTCCACTTCTGTGCATATAACACAAGGCCAGTCCCAAGCTGTTGCCCATCCCTTACACTGTCATAAACATATGCAAGTTGGTTAATGCATACATCACAGATGTGCAAAAAAACTACCAGCCACACTGTCTACTTCTTCCTAACTGTAGTCTGTTTAACTGTATAACTAGTGAAACTGACTGTAGTGCAGGCTGTAATTAATAGACACTGTTTTACACACTGATCTTGGGTAAGCGCACACTCTGAGAAGTGCACAGGCTTTCCAGTCGATAGCTACGTACTCCAAATAAGCAATAATAGGTTTTGATTTGAGGTCAACGTCCAATGACTATCTAATTACTTTTGGTGATTTAGTAAGTTTTGGGTCTCTATACAGTTCCTACTGAAGATTTTAGAGTGACCAATTCACTTTGCTAAGACAAGCTAACAGCCTCTTCTCTTGCAGTGTAAAAGCAAAGCTGAAAGCAACTCACATGGTCCCATTTGCCATTGATCTCCTGTGGGGTTATGGTAGTGTAGGGGTTGGTTCCTGCCATGTTGACGTGGTAGGTCTGGACAATCTTTGAGACTTCGTTATGGATTCCCAGGATGGCTTGTCGCTCCTTGTCGGCATCTGGCAAAGTGGCTTTGAACTGTTCATGGGCTGTGGTCAATCCCTGGAGAACAAATGTGACAGCAGAGAAAAGGTAGGGAAAGTATTAGCTACAGGACAGCATCCACATTAACGTGTTACGAACAACGTGATCAGGAACTCTCCTATGGCTAAAGCCAAGCAAACGCACATTATCAGGCTGCAGGAAAACTGGTCCATAAGAGGGAAAAACATTTCTCATACTCTCATAGTTGCTTAAGTTTTAACAATGGGCATTTATACACATAAGTGGCACTAGAAAATATTATTGGGGGGGGGGGGCTGGGTCATGCGGAGTGTGCCCACCTGACCCCGCCCCTCCCTCCCTCGGGGCCATTTTGGGGCTGGTGCACACTGGTGCTGTGCGTGCAGAGGTGGAGGAGCACGTGGCAGAGGCACTGAGTGTGGCACTCTGGCGGTGGCACTGGAGCCACTGTCGCCAGCCCAGTTGAGGGGGTTAGCTCTGTTAACCACACCCTTCTGCCGCCTGTTTTTATACAGCAAATTATAACCTATCCTATAGTGACCAGCAGCAGACATCAAATCCCAAGACATGGTCAAATACTTGTTGCTTTTAGATTCCTGTAGGTTGGTTTTCATGGGGTCCTTGTTGACAGATCAAAAGCTGTGGGTGCTTATCCCCTCTGGAAAGAAGAGCAGACCACCAGTGTGATTGTTCAGCCCCTGTGTCTCATTTTGTAACAAAATGATAGGGCAAATGGGCAGTTTCTCTCCTCATATCCTAGATCCATATTTAATACAGTCACATAGGACTGAGTCCAGTCTCCTTTGTTCTCAGGCACCTAGATGTCCAGAAGAGCCTACAAGAATATCTACTCCAGTCCTACTCACAACATAGTTTCATAGTTTCATAGTTTCTAGGGTCGGAAGGGACCTGAGCAGATCATCTAGTCTGACCCCCTGCCATGGCAGGAAGAGCACTGGGGTCAAATGACCCCAGCAAGGTGATCATCCAACCTCCTCTTAAAAACCCCCAGGGTGGGAGCCTGCACCACCTCACTTGGAAGCTGGTTCCAGACCCTAGCCGCCCTGACCGTGAAGTAGCGCCTCCTGATGTCCAACTTAAACCTTCCCTCCGCCAGCTTGTGACCATTGTTCCTGGTCACTCCTTGCGGCGCTCGGGGGAACAGGGACTCCCCCAGCGCCTGCTGATCCCCCCTAACCAGTTTATAACAGGCCACAAGATCCCCCCTCAGCCTTCTCTTTTGAAGGCTGAACAGGTTCAGGTCCCGCAACCTTTCCTCATAGGACCTACCCTGCTGTCCCTTGATCATACGAGTGGCCCTCCTCTGGACCCTCTCGATGCTGTCCACATCCCTCTTAAAGTGCGGCGCCCAGAACTGGACGCAGTACTCCAGCTGCGGCCTGACCAGTGCCGCATAGAGGGGGAGGATCACCTCCTTGGACCTGCTCGAGATGCATCTGTGGATGCACGACAAGGTGCAGTTGGCCTTCCTAGCCGCCTCCCCACATTGCCGACTCATGTTCATCTTGGAGTCAATAATGACTCCCAGATCCTTTTCCACCTCCGTGCTGACAAGAGGGGAGTTCCCCAGCCTGTATGTGTGGTGCCGATTGTTCCTCCCCAGGTGCATCACCTTACACTTGTCCGTGTTAAACCCCATCCTGTTCTCCTCCGCCCATCCTTGTAACCTATCTAGGTCTAACTGTAGCCTGTTGCTCCCCTCAATTGTGCCCACTTCCCCCCACATCTTAGTGTCATCAGCAAACTTGAACAGGGTGCTTTGCACCCCCTCATCCAAATCACTGATGAAGATGTTGAACAGGGCGGGCCCAAGGACCGAGCCCTGTGGGACCCCACTTCCCACGTCCTTCCAGGTCGAGAAGGACCCATCCACTACCACCCTCTGGGTGCGACTCTCTAACCAGTTGGCGACCCATTGGACTGTATGGGTGTCTACGCCACAGTCCCCCAGCTTCCTAATGAGAATGGGGTGAGAGACAGTGTCAAAAGCCTTCCTGAAGTCTAGGAAAACTATATCCACTGCCACCCCTGCATCCAATGATTTAGTGACCTGGTCGTAAAAGGCCACCAGGTTGGTCTGACAGGACCACATAGTTGGTCTGACATAGCCACACAGTGACATTTAACACACTATGATGTGCACAGATAAAGAGCAGAACAGCTGAGAATTTATAGCTGGCTCATCAGAGGGAGACCTAGTCTATTCAGAGAACATGAGAATTAAGCAAACTTCTTCCAGCCTAGACAAGCTGGCAAATTCACAATGGCAAAATGTGCTTCTTCAGCTGAAAAAGGCTCCCTCCCCCACCCCCGACTACAAGCAGTGCATTTCTCTTATTGCTGCAGCTCCTAAAATATGATCCCAGGACTACTGGCGACATGGGGAACACCTGATGATGACTTATGGACAGCTGGCAAGTCACTTGGTGCTGGCTCATTTCCAGCTGATTCTATAGGTTTTTAATTCCAAACAGAATAGAAATCTGTAAGAGAGACACCAAAGGGAGAGACAGCAAAGGGGCCCAGGGGGCAGAAAGCATGTGCAGGGACAGAAAGGGGAACAGCGCAGATATAAGGGGAAGCGGAGCTGAAGAATGTATGCAGACTGCATGACTGACCACACACTTATGTTATATGCACCCTAATTAATTTCCTAAAATTACAATCCTACATAGTAATTTTACTGCTTTACTACTTGATAAATACAGTTGTAGTACCTACAGGGCTACAATGCAAGTACAAATGTAGGAGACAGTCCACATAGTTATCAGTCTGGAGGGGAGGAGATGCTCACAAGATGCAATCTCTGTTAGATTTGGTCCACGGCACAAGAGTTGAAAACCCTTTGGTCAAGGGGAAACTCAGCAGTCAGCAGCAGCTCAGTACCAGGGCTCATACTAAGTTGGTACCCTTTTATTACACCTTGCCTAGAATTGATGTTATAGGCAAAAACTTAATTTTAGGCAGGCTCCGTGCTTTTGGCAGTCTCCCTGTAAAAAAAGCAAGTTACCAAAAATAAAATGCTGGCTCCCTTGGCAGAGCAAGCAGTCCTTGTAGCCGCTGTGACTAGGCAGTGCAGCCTGGCCAGGGCAGGAGGGT